CCTGCTGAAATTACTGTTTGCCAGGGCCAACATTTCCACTGTTGCCCAACTTGCAAGCACAAGTCCTTGCAGAGGAAGAAGGAAGAGGAGAATCCCATTTGGGAAAGAAAAAAAAAATAAATTGCAGCACAAGCTTGGTCTCTCAGGTGACACAGGCTAAGGCCAAAGCACGTACACATAATCCAACCCTTTTAAAGCTGTTGCTTTACCTAATTATGGCAGGGATGTGCTCATGCCTTGCCTAGCCCAAAGACTACAAGGTGAAAGAGCTGGGAGACCAAAACCTCTCCCCCCCCCCAATTTAACAAAAAGATGCCAAAGAAAAGCAATCGGAATTGGTTTCTGAAATACCTTTATCGGTCAACTTTACAATGATAATTTCTATTTTACAACTTGTCCCCTCACACTATGCCTTCTTTGGCTTTTGGCAACTTTTCTATATGGCACCTGTATGGCAAAATACAGCACATAGATAGCAAAGGAGAAATTCGGAGCAGCTAAGGCTTCCCCCCATTGCCCTGCCTCCAACAAAAAGCCGCCTTCCCGTTTAATCCTTCCCAGTCTCCCTGCAGCCCGGGTCAAGTATTTTTGCGCAACAATTTGACTTTTGCTTCCAAATCTTGCTGAATTCCTCTTTCCTCTACTAGCGTACGGAGCACAGCGGGGGTGTGAGACACAAGTTATGGTTTGCATCTCTTACCATCTTAACATTTAAACAATCACTTTGTACACAATAAAGTAAGGTTTCAGCATTCATCTGCCAAAAAAGAAGTGCTGGCTTAAAATGTATTATTACACATAAGCATGGCATGAGGTAACACCAAAATAAAAATAATAAATGGGGGTGGGGGGAGTGAAGAAGAGTATGGAAAAGCCATCAGCTTTGACACCCTCTCCCCCCAATCTGTATTTTTTATTTTGATAGTGTTTCTCATCACTTACAAAACCTGCCAAAACAAAACTGTTTCAGTTCAAGCGCGCTACCTCATGCCCTCCCTCCCTTACGTCAGCAACAGTTTCTCTTGCCATATAAAATGAAACGCCATGGTAAGCGTAACGTCAGTAAATAGCAAGGAGAGCCACCCGGGGATGCAAAGAGTTATGGATACTCCCTGCCCGCTTTGTTTGTGTCTGCCTGTTTACACAACCTCCATGGCTTGAAATAACAAAGCCTGAACCAGAAGGTTAGAAAGAAGCACAGGAGCAGCCCAGCGAAGGGAACAAAGACAACCCCAAAAGGATCAGCTCTAAACCAGAAAGCCAAGCAACCCTGAAATATGGGAACAGCATTTAAGAGCTAGGAACTCAACAGATTAAAAACCGGGATTAGGGTGGTTATTCAATTCAGCTTTCTGAATGCAGACAGGATTAATTATTAGAAGGCAACTCGATTTGGAAGCTTTTTAAGTTTCTCATTTGCCTTCCAGCTTACCTCATTTCATGGCAGATCAAAATTCAAACAAGACTTAGGAACTACGGAGGCCACTAAGCACAGTTCAGAAGGGTTAGAATTCCCTCACATTGAGGATCCTGAATCCTAGGAGAGAAATGGTGTGGAATGCACTGGTCTGACGCATTTGTCCCGCTGAAGGTGCTCGCAAGGCTCACACGGACGCTCGTTCCTCAGATGCATCCCTGGTGTTCACATTTAATATATATTTTTTTTAATAGGACAAACTGCCCCATAAAGAAACGCTTCACAGCCAGAACCAAATCCTGCTAATTGGAGGTTTTGAAGACTCCCTGAGGAAGCTGGAAAGGATGGTGCTTTTTTTTGTGTGTGTGTGGTGGTGTTTTTGTTTAAGGATGTAGAGGAGACTACACGTATTGCTCACAGTCTGGGGGGGGAAAAAAAAAAGGCAGCTATAATTATTTAAGCCTGACAATGTGGCTCAATGGAACACAAGACTTTGCAGAGCAAGAGATTCCCTGCATGGGGAAAGATTAAAAAGCCAGGAGTCTGTTTGTGGTGGTGATGTCTGCAACCTGTCCCACGGGTGCTCCGATACCAAAGAAGCCACTACGTCTAGTAATAGGCGCACAAGACTTTGCAGAGCAAGAGATTCCCTGCATGGGGAAAGATTAAAAAGCCAGGAGTCTGTTTGTGGTGGTGATGTCTGCAACCTGTCCCACGGGTGCTCCGATACCAAAGAAGCCACTGCTTCTATGAAACGCTGCTCCTGCTCAGAGGCAAGTAGTTTTGCGCCGGATCATCTCTTTCAGCTCTGCACATGCACCTGTGTAAGTGCTAACCATCTCGGAGCGCTGCTGCCCGACCACATCCACTCCTCTCTGAAAACCAGAAAGCTCAGAGGAGCGCTCTTATTTATTTATTTTTTGACGACGAGTTAGGGAGAGCTGCGAGTTTGTGAAAGCGAGCCTAACACACTCTGTCTCCAGATGCCATCCCAGGCCAGAAGAGCGTGGACAAAACAGACCAAAGTGATGAAAACTTGGGCCTTCAGAAGGTAAACGAGCTCTCAAAGAGTAGAGAACCAGTCAATCAAAAGCATCAGGAGACGACATCCCCTCCTCTCTGCTATTATTTAGTTGTAGCTCACCAGGCATCACCAGGTATGACAGGGAGCAGAGGAACCCCCGATAAAAGCCTGGACTGTGATCCATCAGGGCATGTTCCATATTAAACTGGCACCACAGAAAATTAGGAGTCAATCTGGGTAATGTTTTCCCTTTTTGTTTGCTTTGCTACAGTAAGTGGTTATTTTCTCTGTGGTGGCCACACCTCCTATAAAGGGACTTATTTAGAATATGCTCGTTCGGCTGGGCGCGCCAGAGTTCATTCTTTCATTTAAAAGAAAGAGTTCCATTCTTCCCCGGAACGGACGGCTGGCTACACATACGTACCAGAAACCCATATGCAAGTCAAATTTAAGAAGCTTAGCCCATATTCCATTACCATATTTTATTACTACAGCAAGAAGAAGTGATTATTAAATCCAATCTAGATTGGATTTTAAAATTACCCAACAACAATAGTTCAGGAATCTGTTTACGTGGCTTAACAAAAGACAATAAACAAAGTCTGAAAACCCAAACCAGACTCCCCCTCGATAATTTGCTAGTTATTTAAAGCCTGAAACAGGCACAATATACATTAGTCACAACTCCACATCCAGCTATTTTTTCGCCCAAGATAAGACGCCAGACATTCAAAGGCCCTACTTACCACTCCTCAGGCAGGGAAACTACCACGGCAGTCAGCTCTGTGTCTAATCCGGAGGTAACGCAGAGGGCTATGTAGGAGGAGAACTAATCACCAAGCATTCAACCCCGTGCTGTCTTCGTTGATCTTACAATATTCAACAGCTTTGAATAGCAGCTTCCAGTCTCAACACATTTTCGCATAATTGTCCTTATGTCACATTCAATATGAACTATTACACTAAAAGGCACGCTCTCGTCAGTGAATAGGACTTTTACTTTTAAAGTGGTAATGTTACAAACTGTTTTCTAGAAAGCATGGCTCAATTTCTACCCATACCTCACCCTCTGAAAAATAAATCTGTAATTGGGATTACACTAACATTTCAGATGCTTTTCAGACCAAAGCACCCTCACTAGAAAACCATGTATTTAAAGCAAGAGAGTTCTGAACTCGTCCCTTCCAGGATATATAGGTGAGTGGGTCAGAGAGAATCAACGCTAGGGCTAATAAAACCATGCCCTTGATTCACTAACCAAAACACAGCCAAGAAACGTGGCAACATTTCAAGGCACTTCTTGTAGCTCAAAAGCAAGCCTTTCCATAATGCACCAACTCTTCCTGGATGAATACAGAGTAAAAGAAAAATTGATCCAGACCTCAAATACTCTTTGAGCATTTCGCTTATTTTTGACTTGTCCATTTTTGGCTATAGGAAGAAAGCAACGCACAATTCCAGCAAAAACCCCACCCAAACCAGAACTCTTCCCCACTCTTCTCCCGCAACGAACTGGGTTAATCTTGTTTTGGTACAACCCTGATGAAAAGCTCTCTCAATACAGGAACGAATTCTAGTATTTCAAGACAAAAGCTAAGCAAGCAAAAAAAGGTCATTGCCCTATGAGAAGACGTTTCCCCACAGAAGACTGCTGCCAGCGTGTTTTGATTCTTTACTCTGCTCTGTAACCAGCCACTCCGCAGTAATAAAAAAAAAAAGCTCTCATGAAAAAAAAAAAAAAAATCTGTGCAGCCAAGAACAGACTAGAACGGTAAAAACAATAACCCTGGATAAAACACATTACACATGCAGCCTTCTCTTTCCGAGTTCCCAGGTTTAGTTCAATGTTCAGATGTTACAGAAACACGGACGTTATAACACTCTTTAACCTGAAACCATTCTCAATAGTCACGCTGCTACTTATTTACAGGGGCTGATAGGGATTTGATAGAGGAAGAAAATAATTTCATGTGCAATGTTACAAAACCATTATTTTCTGCATCTTTCTCAACTCTAGGGCCACTTTCCTGGGGAATTTGACACTGTTCTCTGTGGAATCAGACACTCTTCAGTTTACCATTAACCACTATTTTCCCTTGACAGCATTCACGTCCCCTCTCTGTGAAGGAGGAGACACAGCCACATCTTTCCCGTTCCGGGCTCTTTTCCTCCCATGTTGTCCTCGTACGCAACCACGAGCGGGGCGGTCGAGAGAAGGCACGGGCAGGTATTTTCATCCTCCAGAACAGCCTCTTATAGCGATGAAAAGTAAACCCTGCTGCTACTCTCACTCCTGATACCAACCTCCTCCCCCACTCGGGGAAGACAGCTGTGACAACAATGCGGAGCTGGAAGCGGCCCTGGCTCGATTATGGCTGCTTTGTGCCATATTCTTTGAATAGATCTTATTGTTTCCCCTCCGCTCCTTCCGTCCTCTCCATCCCCCACCTCCCCGTAATCAAATTTTTTCCCGGCTACTGCCCAA